CTGCTGCATGCATCCACAGAAACAGCACAATCGCATATAAATAAGGTCACAACTTATAAAGCCTCTTCTAGCTTTGGCCTCAAGGACTGCGATACAGATGTTTGCAATGTCATCTGAAAAACCAGTTTTACATAACTTGCTCCAGTGCTTTACATGCTCAACAGCCTCCTATGATCCTTTTTATCCTCCCAGAACTCCTCTGGTCCTATTGCTAATTGATTAAAACTACGAAGTCTACTGCAAAGACAACAAGCCTTCTAATATCCTGCTCCTAGATGTCAGGGCCTCATCAGGCTCTTTTGCATTCATCCAGGGCAATCTCTACACAGATTTGATGGGTCTTACCTCTCTTATGTTCCTTCAAACCACTCCTACCCAAAACATTTTAGTTAAGTGCCAGTTGTTGAACTCTGAACAGACCTAGGTCCAGAAGGTCCTGTTGTCCTTGGAATAGCATGTCTGTTTCAAAGAAGATCACTGACAGGGGACAAACAATGCAAGTGAGATCAAAAAGCCAAACTACCGAAGGCAGAGCTTACTGAATTCAAAGTTGAACAACGCAGGTCATCCCTGGGGGGAAAACCATTAACTGCTGACTTTTCCATTGTAACGATTCAGCTGGGGGAGCTAGAAGGCAATTTGTTCATAGGTTAATCGTAGCAGGCGCTTAGAAGGAAGGGTGGAAGGCTGAAACTGGGCAGAGCTTTCTGGTCTTATGTTGAACACCATGCTCTGAATTTTCCGTGTACATTCATCGTTGAATCTCTCTTAGTTTTTAGACTGGATTGCAATTTTTATAAATTGTTTCCTGTATTTTTAGCCAATGAAGCAGGCTGTTTCAAATCTGCGAGCAATTTCGTTGAAGAACTTCTGTTTTGTTTTGCAAGTCCAGAATATCAAAACATCTGAAGAACTTTGTGCAAGTTCCTCTGCAATGACCTATGACTACCTCAAACTGGCGTGGCCAAGGTTTTGAAATTCAAAAGATCAGGAGACTGGTAGAAATGAACACTTAGTGCTCCAAATAATAAACCTGAGGCACTATTTTGTATTTATGCTTAGAGCTAGATTACAAGCCTCTGCATCTAATGTAAGTCATAGTTTAAAACCACTTTGAATACAAATAAATCAGCAGTCTAGAATACTTGACACTAGTAACAGGAAGTAATAGAACTAGAAAAGAAACTCTCAAAACATTACTCCTCTATTCAGCAATCAGGAAGAGATTTTAAAGTGTCACTAAGAGGCTTGGAAAATGAAGATTTGCAAATGTATCTCATGGCTCCGCTCAGCCCCTAAACCAGCCGAGGCCCTTGCAACACCTTGAACAAATGTAAAATCCTCTGAAGTATGCCTGGATAGGTTATTTTCAGATGCTGGAGTGACTGCAGCACAGTACTATTCCCAGCAACTCTTTCTCTGCTGAGCAAGCAGATAGGGACATGCGACATAAAAAATACAGCAGCAGTTTTGTGTGATCAGAGGCTTCCTAATTGTGCATGAATCCTTCATTAATTAGTTATGCCAGTTTCAAGGCTACTTTAGTGAAAAATACCAACAAAATGTTTTAACATATTTCTGTCTCTAAGTAATTCACATCCATTACAGAGGCCAAACACTTGGAAAAACCCATTTCTTTTGCCTGTTGTCACCTCTACATTTCTATGACTCATAATTAGAAACTTACTACCTCAAAGATTCTTTTACTGACAGAAATGTGAATTGAAGTATTTAAGAGAAAGATAGAAATGGCTATTTCTCAATTTGCCTCTCCCACAAATGTCCCTGCACATTTTTCAAAGGAAATTACCCTATTCTATGAGATCAGAACCCAAACTTGTCACTGTCACGAATTGAAGCAGGACAATGAAGAGGTCACTGATTGAAAGACACAGCATTGATAAAACCATTATGTCCAAGAGTTGCTGACAGCCTGAATGAGTTAGACAAGAGATAATTAAGTTCAGCTTTGCAATTGCAAGTTCCCTTGTGTATTTCTGTGACCGCTCAGCAGGATGGCAGAGACTTAACAAACCTCAGATACTACACTACTTCATTTACACCCCACACGCCACAACAGCCTTTGGCTTCTTCATTGTCCTCAATGACCTGTTTTACAAAAGAGCACTTATTTGCAGTATCTATTTAACTTCAGAAATACTGCAGACGTACCTTCACGATGTCAAGATGTCAGCTAGCACTAAGGGAAACAAATATTCTGCAGAAATCTCTTGTATTATCACTGGTTTTAGAAGCGCAGGACAAGACAGCAAACATCATTGCATAACCTGCAGCCTCTAAACCTAGGAATAGCAGCTGTGTTAAATTAAGCCTCTGGAGCCACATACACATTTCCATTCACCTGTTGCACCATTTCGTTTAGAATCCGTTAAGCTACTGAGGAAAAAGCCCATCAAGTTATTTTGATAGAGCTTTTGTTTCCCCACTGGCTAAATGAGTAAGTCGAGAAGTACTGCAGATCTATGTAGTTTTCAAAGAACTTGAAACTTACTACCCTTTCCTTCCTTTCCTTTCCTTCCCCCATGCAATGAAAGACTGTTTTCACCTCCAATCCAGAAGGAGTTTACTGCCTTTTAGCCATTTCACTACTTTTGCAAGCCTCCTCTTATACACAAACGTTTGGAAAAGAAAGCTGTTTGTTACATATCAAGAAGAACGAAAAATTAAGAACTACTTGGGCTGGAATAAGTTTAATTGCAGTTCTTTCTACGAGCAGCTACTTGTCTTTTCCTTATGTGGCTGGAAGTAAAGAGCCATTTAAAGTATCTTAGGTTTCTGTGGCTTGGTTAAAAAAAATAAAACTCTTATTTCTATCTGTAGGGGAAAAATTGATAGAACCCATCAGTTCTAAGCATTATGCATAGATGTGTAGAGAAATAGTTGTTCTAACATTTTGTCAAAGAATGCATGTTCAGTTCACAGCCACAACTGCTTTCATCGGTTTCAAGTAATTTGAAAGCCCTTTCCCGCGCTTATCCTTACTGGGCGGCAAGTTCATAGTTTTAACGGATCGGATGGTCTTAGTCACAGCAGGATAGAAAGTTCAGGAAGCTTTCTGTGCATAGAATAGGGATAGAACTAACAGCACTGTATGCCAGTGAGCCCAAAGCAATTCACACA